TTCGGGCAATGGAGCGGGGGTACCGCCAGGGCTGTGTTCTCGGGTTCCAACGCCAACGCGACTTTCAACATCTCCAAGCCGACCGGCGCATCGACTTTCAACGACATGATCACGGTGACCAGCAGCGGCAACATGGGGCTGGGGGTGTCGCCCTCCACGACCTACAAACTCGACGTAGCAGGCAGGATGCATGCGACCAGCGGGGCTCAATTCGACAGCAACGTGACCGTCTCCGGGACCTTATCCGCCACGACGTACTCGGGTCTACAGAGGAAGGTGTGGAACGCTTCCACGCTCGGCTTCGCGAACACGACGAACACCGTCAAGTACCACAAGTTAGCAACGTTCGGGGGCACGAACGCCGGCAACACCGCGGGATCCGTCTACATAACGGGAACCATGGGCGGATACTTAAGCAATCAGACGACGAAAGTCGCGATCGACATAGCCAACAGAGGCGGTATCACGATCACCGGATCGGCGTTCGGATATCCGAGTACGACCTCGACCATCACCGACCTCGTCCTCTACTGGGAAGGGAGCAGCCTCACTACGTCTCCGTGGTCGCTCTACATAGTCAGCAAGGGGCAATTCCAGGTTTGGGACCTGAGTGTTTCCGCGTGTCAATTAGGAGTAGTTATATACGAACCGAGTACCACTTACGTGACCGATCCAACTAACGGCGGCGCCTACACACAGGTATGCTCTTCGGTGATAGGTCGATTGAATCAAGTCACGGAACTTTCGTCGGGGACCGCGGTCACATCGTACAATAACTATTCGTATACGTACAGTTCCGGTTGGGCGAGTGCGGGGACTGCAAACAGCGGCACCATCCAATGCGGCACTTTGTCATGCAGCACACTCTCTTCGAGCGGCGCGATAAGCGGAACCACTATCACCGCGAGCGGAGCCGTCGCCTGCGTTGGTCTCAACGTCACTTCGTCTTCGACCGCAACCATCAATACCATGACGTCAATTTTAGCCCCATCGTTGGCAACTGGGAATTACATGCTCAACGTCTTTGGAACCGGTCAA